GGCACTATTACATGGCATTCAATGAACCAGAAGGGTTTATATAAGGTTGGGGGCATTATTGTATGGTTGTACAGGGACTCTTAAATCGCATTCTGGCATCCTATCGTATTGTTCCGAGCCCCGTATCAGTCGGCCAGAGGTTTGGGCTTTGTTTTAAGTTCTACGGCTTCGGGCCTTGGCGTTGAGGACTTTGGCAAGGGTGGTGGCTTTTCGAGTCTGGTGTGCAGGGGTTAGGCTTCGGGATTTTTTGGAAGGCCAATCATTGTCGGGGTGTTTGCTGCTTTTCGTTTCAGGTTTTCCCAGGGTCACCATCATCCAAGGAACCACCGATCCGTTCAAGTTAAAGCAAAAGGGGTTTGTAAGCTTAGAAGCTCTGGTCTTTTTGACAAGGATCTTTGAACCTACGGCAAAGGCACCTGATTGTCTCCAGCTCCCATAATCCTGGGCCTTCGAGGAGTTAAACGCCTTTGCGCGCAAGCTTGACGGCCTTGCTGTATACTGATGGTGCAATGCCGTACAGTGCTTGGGAGGAATCCTGCTTGCCCCCCCGCCCCTTTTCCAGTTCTAGACGCTACTTCCCGTGTTGCGACGATGCCAGCGACGCTGCAGACAGGAAGAGCAAGAACAGCTTGCGCCCGAACCATAAACCCCAAGAGTCTGCGGTTTCGGCCAAAAGATGGGGCGCACACTCGAAGGTGAGCCACGCCACACCGTCGTCCTCCTCAAACTGGCCCTCGATGACCTTTCTCTCTCTGGTGGGTCTTTTGGCTGTGGCGAGATCTTTGAGGGTTTCAGTGTCTTCAAAGACCAAATGAAAATATCGTGTGTGGTTGCGTTGTTTTGCAAGGCCACCGCTGGCAGCTGCAGTCTCTCTTACGACTTACAGCCTTTGGTGCAAACTTTCGGGGAACATGATTGCGATGCCGATTCGCCTTTGTCTCGAGAGACAATGGAGAAAGCTGCGTCTGTGCGATCAGTATCTGCTTTCGAAACCACTTGTTGGAGTGGAGTTTTCCATGTCACAGCCAGGAAGGCACCAGAAACAAACCCCAGAGTGAGCGGGAGAGAGAGAGAGAGAGAGCGAGAGCGGCCTCAACCCTAGAAGCCTCAAGCCTTGACCCTATAACCCTAAACCCTATAACCCTATAGCCCTATCACCCTAAACCCATACGCAACAACGGTTTGGGCCTTGCCAGCGGCACTTTCGAAGAGCTCCTTGATGTAGCGCCATTCGAGTCCTGAGGAGGCTCTCAGATCCTAGACGCCTGGAGCGTCTGAGGAGCATCGGTGGAGTTGGAGGGTTAGGGCTTTAGGGTTCGAGGTTTAGGGCGGTTTAGGTTTGAAGGATGTAGGGAAGTTTAGGGCCGTTTAGGGTTTAGGTTGTTCTCTAGGCTCTTGGGAGATTTTTTGGATCTGAGATGATGCTGTCTCTCTCGCAGAAGCCGTGGCGGCCTCGATTTGAGGTGAAGTTCAGGGTTTAGCTGGGGTTTTACAGTGTCGAAGCTGAAGAATCAGCCCACGGCAATGTTCCGACCAGGGCTTTTTTGGGTGAAGGGCTTGCTTCACGATTAGGATAGCGCTGAGAACAGAAAGCACACTTTGAAGCTATCATGAGAGACGATCACTGTGACGTGAGCAGCGCAAGTCAAAGTATCTCAAGGAGAACACCCAGGCCGCCAGGAAAGCGTAAACACTACCCGGCAAGAGGATGAACAGCACTACCAGCAAGACTGGGGGCGTTGCCCTCTGGGATGTTGCTCACTTTCACCTCGGTAGCTACATCTGAATTGGTGGAGACGTGCTTGCTGGCGCCGAACTGATAGGGATAGGGTTGGTGGATTTCTCCACTGCCACATGAGTCTGTTTCACAGCGCCACCCTGTTTGTTTCCACTGACCAAGCTCGTGCAATCTCAGCATGGGGATCTGAAGGCTTTGTCTTCTACTTGCCGGCTTGGCATGAGTTGAGCGTGCCAGGGCATGGGATGAAACACCTTCAGCCACGTGAAGTTCCCGGCAGACATAAACGGCGACCAGAGTGCTCATTGTCACCAAACTTGCGTATTGCCAAAAGGTTCCTACGATAAGGACATGAGGTAACCAATACCAGGAAGACGAAGCTCGAAACCGGAAACCTCAGAGCATGGAAAAGAGCCCGCAAGCGACTCCCAGAAACCATCAATGCTTGGAACCCAGCAGTGCGCGGCCGGGAGAAAGTTCCATGCGAAGCCATGTCACCTGAGGGTCTGAAACTGGGCTTTCTTCACTTTGAACTCCTGCAAACAGAACCGGAGTGGTGTTCGAAAGTTGGATTGGCTTGCCACGGCTTTACTCAGGGCTTCTTCCATACGCGCGATGAGCAGGTGTAGGGTCAGTGATCCCCAAAGCCTGGGCAATTAAAGTCGAGACCTTCTATCTCGAAAACCCGGAGAAACCCTGGCAAAAAACCTCTGCAAGAACCGTCAGTGTGTAGGGAATACAGTTCGAGACGTAATCTTGAAGCATCACCTCCGAGCCTAAATCCAAAATCCGACCGAACTCCTGAAGCCTAAGACCACCTCCAAAATCCCAAACCCGGAACCCTTAAGCTAAGCGCCTGAGCCCTAAAACTCGAAACTCGCACCAATACTACTGCCAAGGATTCCTGATCATGATTGCAGCATCTGTTTGTCCCAGAACCCTGCTTGTTCAGGCCCCTTTTTATGACCTTCGCTGCCCAGTACCCTGGCCCCAAAAAGTTTAAACTTTTCTTTTAGTAAGGGTTTAATATACCAAAAAAGTATAAAGTTTACCTATTGGGTCCTAAGTTACCCTCTTTGCTTCAACTCCGGGGCTCGGTCGTCCTTTGGCTTTCTGCACCTCCTTCGGCGCGCGCTTCTCCGTGAGCCTGGAAGACGGACCCAGGTGGCTGTGAAAGGTTTTCGGGCTCTCAGGTGGTTCCCACAAACTCTGAGATCAGGCGTTGACAGGCATGACAGGCCCTGAGAAAGAAGAGAAGGGCGTTAGACAGTACCTGAGCAACAGGTTCTACGCTGACTCGCTCAGCCCCCGGATCCTCCAATCCTGAATCGTTCGTAGTGCTCGTCTGGAGTTCTGGTATATGGAGAGGGGAAGAGCAGCCAAACGCCAGCTAGCCTTGCGAGAGGTTAGGCTTCCAAACCGCCGTTGTTTATAAACTGAATACGAGACCTGGCCTGCCATGATTCATTATCATTGAATCATCGCTGTTACCACTATTGCAGTTGCTGCACATTGACATATTTCTGGTTTACTGGTGGCACCCGATGACTCTTCAATTCATCTTCTCAGTCTCGGTCTGCAAGGCTTCGGGGTTCAGTGCGGAATCGGACGGTGTCTGTGGCACAGGATCAGTCCAAACTCCTGTCATCTCCAACACTACGTATAGACGCCCTGAGGCCTGAAGACCTTAGGGTTTCCGGTCTCTTTGAGATCGTAACACTGCACATATATCAAGCATAAGGACACTGAGCATTCGGAGATAGTCACCAGGGTACCCACCCTGGTCCCAGCCTGCCCCCACGGCCCAGGCGCTCCTTCTTTTCAGCGCCTGGCCAGCGGAGAGAAAAACAAAGGGAGACGGCCTGTGCGGACTTTTGGTTCGAGATCTTCTGGAGTCTGGGTCTGGCCCTAGACCCTAAACCCAAAACCC